AGGTGTCGCTCAGGGTCAACTCCTTGTTCAAGGTTAGTAAATACGTGACTTTTTCCGTTCAACTACAATGTCCATACTTGAGGCGTTTTGGAAGGCAGTTCAACTGACCAATGGTACTTCCTTAACAAACGGTATCAAATCTATTTTTATCAGTGGGCAGGCATTTTCCACAATGCCGGGCAAACGCAACCTTGCTGTAATCTATTCTACTATTATTTTATTGGTCCTTCATAAACCTGCAGATTCAAACAGCCGGGCCTTAGACCATTAGGAAAGTGTTACGGCGGATCTGTCAAAGAACAATGTTGCCAGAACAAGCACAAGTCTCCCTCAGGAGCCCCACAAATCAGATTTAATTAGTGGAAAGGGGTCATGACATTGAATATTATATCTCCAAAAAATTACCAAATTAATCGCCCAAATTTGGGGGAAAGCCCCAATATGGCACCCTGTCAAACGACCACTGATACCACAGACGTCAAGTTTCGGGGTCGTATTTACAGCACGAACAACATTGCCGTAGTTTTTCCTGGTATATATGAGGTCTGTAAATTAAGTAATCAGACTGACAACGTAGCGTTCGATCTAGCAACACTGGAGGCGCCGAGCTTGGACATTAAAATATTCATGTGGCTCCTCAGCCTCCTTGTTCGCCTGACTTGAGTTCTTGTTACTTTTTTCTTTTCCAGAAGTTGAATAATCATCTCAAGGGAACTCATTTTGGGTCAGGCGAAAACATTCACACTACTACACCCTGCTATGAGGAGTGGAAGGACCGTCTCTAGTGTGTGGTTACAGAAGGAAGTTATTTTGAGGGTGACAATATAAAATTGACATTATATTTGAATAAAAAATTTAAAAAAGTCCGTCTCATTACTTAATTTGCAGACCTCGTGGGTTCCATGATAAGGACTATATCGTAAGGGTGACCAATTCAAGGTTGTTATTAAAATATACCCAGTGCCTTTATGCCTGCTCTAATATGATAAAAAATGATCTCTACACGTGTCTAACAGAAGCGGTTCTCAAATATCCACACCCACGTTTCCGCATCTCCCTAATTCTGTATTACTACCCACTCGTAGATTATATATAATTACTTATCAAAAATTTAAGCGCTATGCATGGAAATCATTAGTTGTGGGGGATCGACCCAAACATCTACATATGGTTTGTCATAAACCACTACGTTTACAGAACCATCGGGACATATCACGAATTTCTTATGATGAGGATCCCAAAGAAACTTTGTTAATCCAATTTTTTAACTATATAAGGTTAGTAGAACTGGGAAAAGCCTCCTTTTGTGGATTGTTCCACAATATCGATATCCTAGGGAAAAAGAAGTGGTCGTATCGGCCAGTTATTGACGTACGAAGTTCGGATGGGAGGCTGAGCTCAAACGGCCGATGGCCCGCCGGTGCCTAGACTCTCCGTTAGAGAAGAGTCATCAATCAGTCGGACGGCCCTCTTCTATATAGCATCAAACGTGGAAGATGTAGTCGGGGCGGCAGCACCCCAAGCATGTGACCAATGCTCGAGGCTAGGTCTTATCTGAGCCCTGTACAGAGCGAGAAGGTCATGTGGAGAAAAGTATTTCTTAGCACTAAGCAAATTGCGTAGCTTTTTCACAGCAGCTGCCGCTATTGACTAGATGTATACTAAGTGACATATAAATCCGAACACCCAGTTTAAATGGTTTTATTTTAATAACATTTTGTATAAGTACTTAATGAAGCATAATAAGTAAATGATAAAAATTTCAAAACGATTGCACTGCTTTAAAGCCCTCTGACCTTTAATAATGTGTGGATGCACCCTGATGTGCTACGCATTCTCCAACGCGCCTAGGCATGCTTCTGATCAGGTGGTCAATGTCCTCCTGTGGTATCTCATTCCAGGCAACCACCAACTCCTCTCGAAGTGCTTCTAGAGTCTGAGGAGGACGTTGCAAATTGAGCAATCTCCTACTCATCATATCCCACACGTGCTCAATTGGGGATAAGTCGGGAGATCTTGGTGGCCATGGTAACAATGTGACATCATTATGTTGAAAGAAGTCTATTGTGACTCTTGCAACATGTGGTCGGGCATTATCTTGTTGGAAAGTTGGATCTGCCAGGGTGTCAAGATAGGGTTCTAGAACTTCGTGGATATAACGTTGCGCGTTCATGTTACCTCTGATGAAGATTAAAGGTGACCTGGAACCATAAGCTATAGCACCCCAAACCATAACTCCAACAGTGTGATGAACATGTCTTTCAACAAAAAACTGTGGATTCCTCCTTTCACCACGTCGCCTTCTAACCCTGGCACGACCATCGTGCATGCCTAAACAAAATCGAGACTCGTCACTAAAGACAATACTGTTCCATTCCTGATCCCAGAGTGGCCGTTGTCTGCACCACTCAAGGCGATTACGTCGGCGTTCTCGAGTTAAAGGGAGGACCCAGTGTGGCCGGTATGAAAACAAGCCAAAACTTCTCATTCATCGGTAAACACTTCGCATGCAATAGGTCTTCCGTGTTCTGCAAACCATTCATTTGCAATGGACCTGGTAGTGGAGAAACGGTCCCTTAAGGCCAATAATCTTGGGCGGCGATCTTCACGGTCTGTTGTTCTACGGCGCGGTCCAGTGCCCCTTGCTCTTTGCGTACGGCCTTCTCGAGGCCATGCCTGACAACACCTAACCATAGTGTCTACACTTCTTTGCACTCTAAGTACAATTGCCCGAAAAGAAAGTCCAGCTTCCCGAAGTCCCACTATACGGCCCCTATCAAACTCACTAAGTTGACGAACTCGTACAGGTCTCCGTACTCTAGGCATCGTAACCGATCGTAAAGGATGTCAAGAACCCAAATCCGCCAACGTTGATTCTTTACTGCGGCTGAAATATTCATTTTTGGAGCGTTAGTGAATTAAAAAAAAGCAGTATAAAAACCGGAATGTCCAACTGATAAGGCTGAAAATTTTTTCACTTGTTATTTACAGTAAGATAAATAGATTCACCAACTTTTATTAAAATAAAACCATTTAAACTGGGTGTTCGGATTTATATGTCACTTAGTATATTTAGCAACTAATAACATTGAATCTGTATCCAAACCATCACACATTAACCAGTCAAACCCCAAGGATTTTTTCCTGCGGTAATCATCTGACTTTTGACGCTTATTTAGGTACCCCACCCTCGGTGGCATGAACAGTCTTAAACTCTGGGTTTTCCTTGGAACTATGTATACGAAAAGACTCATTTGGTTCTAGTTCTTATTTCCCACATAGTTGCTCCTTCCTGTAATCAATGCCGTCAGAGTAAATACAAAATTTCTGTTTTGAGAACCATAACGCTCTTAGAGCAACCCCTCTGCCCTCCAATTCCCAGTAGCGAATTTCGTCCTATTACAGGACCCCTTCAGTCGTATTCTCGGCTTCAGGCCCCGCTAATTTTAGATCCGCCGCTGTTTCTACCTGATTCTTTCATATGACTTTTTTGCTCAGATATTCTTTTAAACGTGTCAGAAGCCCTGTAAGTATACGAAGCTGGTTCCTTTCCAGGAAAGACCTCAGTTACAATGTGCTGTGTTCTGATGGTTGATTGAACATTATCTATTTCAAACCGAAGCAGCTGCGTAGGCAGAAGCCTACCGGTGCACCACGGCTGCTATAAGGGGCTTAAAGACACTTTGTTAATCCAATTTTTAAACTGCCTAAGGCTAGTGGAACTGGGAAAAGCCTCCTCTGGCAGGTTGTTCCAAAATCTCGATACCCTAGGACAAAAGAGCGGATATACCGGCCAGTTCTTGATGTACGATGGTTAGGATGGGAAGCAACAGAGAGCAGAGTTCTGAGCAGCAAAGCCCATTGATATAGCAGTAGAAGAGAGTCAGATTGCTGACGGTCCGTCGACGCGAAAGGGTCCAGATACTGTTTGTAAGAGAAGAATGATCGATCATTCGCGCTCTCTCTTCTGATCAGCATCGAGCATGAATAATGTAGTCGGAGCGGCAGCATCTGGGCCTTGTACAGAGTGCGGAGGTTATATGGAGACAAGTAATTCGTTAGCCTTTTCTCAGTATCTGCCGTGAGCCTGCCAGATCCAGTCCTCAGAGATCTGGACTCCGACCAGCCGAAATGAACGGCTCCCTGACAGAACTTGCCCATCCAGCGAAACCGGATAAGCCCTATAGCGATTCTTGTTAGTCAAGTTACAGTACTGTTTTTTACTGTATAAAATTGTCGCCTCCTCAAGCATTTCTAATCTCCATGTAAGAGAGGAAGTGACTGCTAGTCTTTTTCCACCCAGCTCAGCGGCAAAGTTCGGCTTGGCACTCTGAATTCCTATATGTGCAGTGCTGTCATCAACAAAGCGGATCGGATTGATCGTACACGAAAGGAGGTCGTTGATATGTAATTGAATTGCTGATTCTTATCTTGCAAACTCATTGTGGTTGATAAATGGAAACATACATTAAGGGACCTGGATGGAGGAGACAATAATATGTTTCAAAAGTTATATGCAGATATGGTAGGTGCTTCTGCTTTATTTCTCCGCCGCCTATGTATAACTATGTATATTACCAGCAGAAACATGAGAAAATGAACTTCTGTCACGAACTTATATTAAGAATTTGTCCTACCATGACCTTACTACAACACAAAATGGAATAAAAACAAACGGCTGTTCTATTTATGCTTTGGACATTTTCCAGATGAAAGCTGAATGCAAAATTAGCAGAACAACTTGCGCCCGCGGCTATATATTGAGGAAAATGATATCGATTTCGAACATTGGAATGTTCTGAATCGTAAAAAGGAGCTTATACAACATAAATATATTTTAATAGATAGCATTGAATATATATTTGTTGCATAACTAGACAATAGTACCGTTCATTGCATACGAGGGCGGTCTGAATAGTTTCCGAGCTCAACGTGAAGATGGCAGCACTTCTAAATAAAGGCTAGTGAATTTCGTTGTTCATCTGTTGACAGTTACTTACCAAAGCTTCAGCCATTTTAATCGTGCAGTTGTTATGTAACAGTCGTCTGAGTGGGTTGATGTGAATGTTTTTTGGAAATGGACAAATTAAAGATGAGTTGCACAATCATTTTACCACAGTGAAATTTTAGGCAGCTGAATTTAAACGTGGCCGAAGAGCTTGGGAGACGATGAACGTTCGGGATATCAAAAAATTGCAACTACGGACGAAAACATCGGTTCACCAAATGGTGCTAGAACTAAAGTGAGAGAGATAGCAGAGGTTATGAACATGACGAAAAAACGTGTTTGTCACATATCAAATCAACAATTAGACATGAGAAAGCTGTCCGCGTTTGCTCACGTTAGACCAAAAACGTGTTCGAATGAACGCTCTGTTGGTGCAGCTTAGGCGCAAAAAAGCCGAGTTTTGGCGCCGATTAATAACTGTAGATGAAACGTGGATACACCATTATACGTCCGAAACAAAAATAAAGTACAAACAGTGGACTGCAAAGGGGGAACCGTCTCCAACAAAAAAGCGAAAACTGTTTTTTTCGGCTGGGAAAGTGAGCGACTGTTTTTTGGGATAGTCATGGAGTTATTCTAATCGATTATCTTCAAAAAGGAAAAACCATTACAAGAGCATAATACGCATCATTACCTGAAGACAGAGCTTGCGGAAAAACGGCCACATTTGAAGAAAAAGAAAATCCTGTTTCACCAAGACAATGCACCGACTCACACCTCAGCGGTTGCCATGGCGAAGATCCAAGAATTACGGCTTGAACTACTTGGCCATCCGCCTTACTCGCCAGATCTAGCCCCAAGCGACTTCTTTTTGTTCCCTTATCTAAAAATTGCGCTTGGAGGGCAGACATTTTATTAAATGAAGACGCAATCACCTTCATGAACAATTATTTTGCAATGAAAAACGCTGAGTACTATTTGGACGGGTTACAGAGATGGGAGCATCGCTGGGAGAAGTATGTAAAGTTGCAAGGAGGTTATGTTGGAAAATATAAAATAAAAGGTCTTGTATCTTCGTTAGGTCGGGAACTTTTCAAACCACCATCGTACAACATAGGTCCGATTGTTTCATGAACAGTCCCTGTAGTATTGATTTGTTTTATTTTCATATTTACCTGCTACACGCACTAAAATACTAAGTTTAAATTCACGAGTTACAAAAATAAGGTTGTCACCCGAAATCACGTATTTGAGAGTTTTCTTGTTTCCTACCAAAACCATTGATTCAACCCTCCTCGTTTGTACAACTGAAAACTCATAAGCTAAATATTTCAAGAAGCTGTTCATATAGATAGGATAAAGATGGAATTACACTTACATCTAGCATTTTTTGTTGAAAAAATAAATTCTGATGCCTGGTAGTCAAATAAGCATTAGAGCTCTTCTACAACAGATTGCCAATTGTTGAAAGAAGTTGAACAAAAATAAGTCATACAAGTACACGATTTTCGGTTCATTGTATTGATGTAAAATGAGAAATTCAATTTTCCCAGGAGTTCGCTTTGCCTGGGTTTCTCTTATATAGGTTAATAAATATTTTCAAGAATAAACAATGAAAAATATGATTAATATGATTCTTTTGCATAAGTTATTTGGATTTTTCCATTATTAGTATTTATAAATACTGAAGGTTATTCGAAATTTCAATCTCTTAGAACTCAAATACTATATGAGGTGCTTTAAGACAGGTTTATTTGTCATTTACACAGTTTTTAATGTCTACTGAAAAATTAAATTATGTGGCTTACGAAGTTTTTGCAATGATCGATTGAATTTTAGGATTGAAGGAAAAACAAAATTGAAATATACGTTCATTTTACACAAATAGGGAAAAATAAATCCTGCACTCCTACATAAAGGAAAATTCAAAAAATGGTTGTCAACATATCTAGAATAAAACCTACACCAAAAAATAATATATTTTCAGGATAAATGCTTCAAGACGTAACCCATACTAACACTTGTTTGATCGTCAGTTAGGGGCTGTTCAAGTATTAGGTAAGTAGATTTTTCACAATCATCAACCCCCCTAGGGATTCACTACTCAAGTCAAGCTCAAGTCAATGCAAATCAAGTCAAGTAGTATTTCTGTCAAGTACTTGAAAATTCAAGTAATCTTGATATTACGTGATAATTTTTGTTATATACATAAGTATGAGTATATTATAAATACACAACAGAAATACAAAAATACAAAATATTTTGTTCATCGTATAACAAGTAAATAAACGATAACGCTCAGTTGATTCAAAAAATAAATAATTCTGGATTAGCTTTTCATTCGCTAACTATGAAGGTCCTAACGGATTTATCGCTTAGTTTGTTTCGGAGCTCCGTAATAGTCAGTCCTAGAAAATCCCCTTGCCATTAAAACTAGATTTGAGGATACTTATCCATGTATTTGCAATAAAATACAAAATACAGTTTATCAGTTGTAAAAATATCACAGAAGGCCTTTAGTAGAGCAAAAATATAATTTGTCGTCAAGTTTCGAGTAGTTTGAAAATGCTTGATCTCAAGTTAAGTAGAACAATTAAAAAATCAATTCTAGTCAAGCATTAATGTTTCAAGTACCTTTATTTTTAATCACCATAAATATCAAGCTTGATGCATCTCTAACACCCTCACGTACAAGTATTTTTAAATCTGTTCTGGTTTCTTTATTGATTTATGAGCAGCAAATAGTCTAAAATAAAGAAAAGGCTTAGGATAGAGGAATTTAAGGCACACAATGATTATTCAAGCAAATTATTATTATAATCTTAATATATTAATGACTATCACGCTCATTTGTTTTAAAACACCTATCAATATCTGGGGAATCCCTGAAGATGCCTTTCGCTGTGAACGATAGCTAGTTTCTAGTTGACATCTTGTAGAAAAACCTACGTAATGTCATAAAAAACGACTTTTTAAATTACCTAATACCCCTGTCGTCCCTCTTACTACTCACATAATACTTGAATGGAATTTAAAACTATTGATTTTAGATTTTGAAAATCTTTATTCTGTTCAGTTGCACGGTTGTTCTTTTTGGGCACGCTTGTGTTTGAAAATACAGGCCAAGAAAAATAGGCAATTTATAACTAGATTTATTTGTCGCATATCAAGAAATAATTTTTCACTGGTTGTGGCGCACGCCGAGTATAATGAGGCAATTTACAGTCTAATATTCCCGAATATGGCCCGTAAAAATTCAAGACCGGACAGGTTGCCGGGAAAACGCCCGTTCCGCAATCCTCAGGAGCGAAATAAAGGGAGATATTTTTTGTATTTAACATCCCAACAATTTGAACCGTAGATTTATCGCGTATTTTCCTTCTTTTCCTCCTGTCTTTGCGGCTACAAGTCCAGTGAGGTAGAAGCAGGTCCATAATATTTTTACACGTGATTCAAAAAAAAAAAAAAATACAAAATCGCTCAATCTGCTTCATAAATATTTATGTATCTAGGACGCAAAGTAGGTTAAGTTTTGTTTCCAAGAGTGCCGAAAAATAAATAAATTGACCCCACTATGACACCTTGTGTCGTTGCCGATTGTTTAAGCCAATGACATTAATCAAATTAAAGATGGCGGGCGGTATAGTTATAGTACCGCCCAAAGGCACAAATAAGTTCATGGGTTGGAAAATGGGACATAACGCCCGGAAAACCTATTTATAAAATACACTTTACCGCCCGGCAAGAGATAAAAACATTTTCGGTAGATATATGAAAGCAAGCATGGACCTGAAAACAGGCAACGCAGGGTTCAAAACCTAATGATGTATGAAAATTATGTTATGGATGGATTATCTCAGCAACCGTCAAATATAAATGAATCAAATTTTATGAGAAGGGTAACTCAATATGAAGAATGCAAACAATATATTTGCAAGATTTCTAAGTTTATAGTGTTCTCTCTAGGTTAGGTAAATGCCGGTTTATAAATAAAATCTTAGGTAACATGATCATGCAACTGGCCCAATCAAAGATTTAGGATGGCTCAAAATTAATAACCTGTTTAAATATTTATTTTTGACATTTGTGAAATTTATTATAACTACTCACTCGTCACTAGGTTTATGGAACGCGCTAACCTTTAGAAAAAGCATTTATGATTTAAATTTAAGGAATATGAGCACATTATCCATTTTTAACTAACTCCTCTTCGTGGGAAGCCCGGAGTCAATCTACTTGACGCGATTTCTTTAGTTCGGTTTTCATAAAACGCTGGGCTACCCTAATTTCGCAAGCGTAACTTCGTGTTTCGGGATGAATGAAACACGATGCGCAGATTAGCAACCTCGCTGCGTTGTTAAAAAGTTTTTAATTGCTTCGTTTAAAAAAGTTTTGTTGGCGGAGTAATAAAAGATAAGTTTTCTTTATGTTTGCGGAAGCTATGTCGTAATTAAATGGATTTTGGAACAAAATCAGGTGCCACAGACGGCCAACCGTCGACAGCTGTTTCTTGCTATTTGGCAACTCCTCAGCATGGTGTAGGCATCAGAATTCAATGATAGAGCTCAGTACCAGTCTATGTTGGAAAAGGTGTAGTATGGCAAAATCTTGAAGACCATTTCTAATTTGTTGCAATGGAAACCCTTAAAACGATGCGTCTTTATGTCATTGTATTCGTTCGCAATGCCAGTAGTAACTCGTTTTCTGAACAAAGATTAAAGCTACCTCATCACTAAGGTACCTGAGGAATTTTCTAGCGAATCTATCTATTCTTTTAACCTAGTTTTCACAGCTCCGAGGAGCAAAATGCCCAGAAGCTCTTGACCCAAAACTTTGGTTTTAATAACCGTCTTTGCCAATCAGCTGTGATTTTACCCGGAAACTATGAGTGACTCTTCACCCAGCAATAGTTTAGCCGATGCTGGTGGATTAATTCACAATTGCCGACCCAGTTTGTGGTACTTTCGTCCAAGATTGAATCCTCCTGCTGACAATAGTACTGTGCAATATGTTGGGGCTTGACCTTTGATATAGACATAGACTCACTAAGGATATGGCAAGACGTCTTTGGTCATGAGGTCAAGACAACACTTTTGTCGTACAAATCTGTCAATGTGACAAGCGCTTTTTGTGCAAGACGGTTTTTTTGAAAACACTTCCTTTTCTGTTCACTACTTTTATTATTTCGTGTGTGCTATTATTGCAAATGAGCATGGAGTTGTGTTCTGACGCGCTACTGGTTGCTGGTGATCCGCAGGTGTATTA